GGGTAGATGTTTCTTTAGTTTCTCACCTTTACTTGTTTTATTCTTTGTTTTATAAGTCTTTTAGCAAAACTGAATTCAGCCTCTGTCTCTGTGCTGAGAATTTCCAGTTCACTGTCTCCCAAACTCTTGTCTTGCACTCCCATCTTTCTCTTGGGCGTCACCTTCCCTTTTCTGCTCTTCCCATGTTCACTTACCTTCTGTTCTGACACCGTTTTGGTCTCCGTTATGGAGGTTTGGGACTTTGGTTATCTATGATACATCTCCCTACCTCCAAACGGTCAATCAATGGCTTAATCCTTGACGATGATTTCAACATCCATGCCCTCCTCACCAGTCCACCTTCTTGATTCAGCTCCCCACTATCTGTCTCTTTCCTAACATAGACAGTGACTATTTTTCTTGGCTCTTTTCCTTCTACCCTACCCTGAGTGCAGGCTACAACCTGACTCCTACAGACATTTCTGGGGCCCCGTCATATCCTATCAGTCCACCTCTGGTTTCAGTCACAGCTTTCACGTGAGCTCAGACCCCCACTGACAGAGTCTCACCTCTCACGTGAGGCTTTCTGCTTTGACCCCAGAACCTTCCCAGGAGCCTTGTGCATCTGTGTATCAGCTAAGCTCAGCCTGGAAGTACGGAGGAGCCAGTGCCCCCAGCAGGGGCACCCCTCCACCAATTGGGGACTGAAGGTGTTGGATAGCTTCCCATCCTGCTGCCCATCACACAGACAGTTCTTGGAGGACTTCTCTGTGGTCCTTCGGTGTCCTGGACAAGGGACATGCCCCACTGCCAGGGGCAGTGACCTTGATAGAGCACCCTGAGATGGATTTTCCTCCCCCATGCTCTCCCTCTCCTGCTTTCTGGGGTCATCACCCAAATAAACCTCCTGTCCCCACATGCTTATCTCAGGCTCTGCTTTCAGAGGGATTCGGATCAAGACAGCAGTCTTCTAGAAGCTGCTGCCCAGATGTCTTCAGTGGCTTCGCAGGCCTCCCCAGTGTAGGACCACGTGTGGTCTGGAATGCTAGGCTGTCAGGTTGGACTCCAGCCGGTCTTCCCAGTGCTACTTCCCTTGTTTGCCTTTGACCTTTGGTCCCATGCAACTGAGTTCCACAAGGCAAGAGATTCTGTCTTGTTCATCTTTGTTTCCATTATTGCTCAGTGTTCAAAATACGGGGAAATGAAATGTAAGTGTGTATTTTTAGTGAGTGAATGAATGAAAAGATGTGTTCATCCTCAAATTTCCATCCTTCAGGGCTCTTCTCCCTGCTTAGTAGTGACTTCTCCCTCCGCTAAATTTACAAAACCCTGTATCTGTACCCCAGTGTGGTACTTTTTGCTTTCTACTTTGTTTTTGTGTATTTACAAGCCTTCACTGCTAAAATGCAAATTCCTTGAGGGAAGTGACCTTGCTTTTATTTCCCTTCACATTCCCCATAGCTCTTACGGGTAGGTGGGTAATCAATACATGTTGGTTGAATGAGAAGGTATCTCCCTACTTTTCTAGGCATGCTGACTCCTTTTGGTTTGTTCTAGTCTCAGCTCTCTAAACATGTCCCATGTTTTTCTATTCCCACACATCAAGGGTATTTGTTTCATGCTTCTTTCTATGTGCTTCTTGTAGTGTTTACCTATGGGAATTCTAGCCATCCTTCAAGACCCAGCCTAAGTATCATCTTTTTCATCAAGTCTTCCCTAATTTTTCCCCTTCACCCCCCCCACCACTTCCCGTATGTTATGCATATGTATTATGCTGCTGAAAAATCACAAGTTTTATCTGGCTTGTCTCCCTTCCTCCTTGGAGATGTTACGCACCTTCAGGGCAAGTCTGGTTTCTTCCTCATTGTGTCCAGGAGCTTGCTCAGTGCCCTGTAATCAATAAGTATCTGTTGGAATGAATTTATTTGAATAGGTTGAATCATACCATATGCCTTTTCATTCACATCGTCTTAACTGGTGCCCCCTGACCTGTCTTTGTGTGAATTTCTGGCAATGGAAGAAATCACAAGCAGAAGGAAAGATGTATATCTAGAGCCAGTCAGCATGATCTACTATGTTTGAACATGAATATTGGAACATAACTTACAAGAATGCTGTTTCAATTATTTGTAAAATATTTAAATAGTATAATCCAATTTACATTCTATCATTTCCAACAGCTGTAAAATTTACTTTCCACCAAAGTTAGCTCAATCACTTTAATTCAGTCTGGAAAAACAGTACAAATGAAAGCTTAATTTGTATTTAATCTCCCTTTTGTTTCTACATTATTGCCTTCGAATCATTCCTTTTAGTGACTGAGATTTAACCCAGAGAGAAGAAAAGGGCTTGATGAAATATTTGAGAAGAATATAACCCATAATGAAAAGTTTGGAGTAAATGTTTAAAAATTTTAAGTGGCTTTGTTCTTTGGGGTTTTCAATTCACACAGTGTCTTTGTTATAAACCTGAGGTATGAGATCTGTGGGTTACTTTGTCAGATTCCTGGGACTGTGACTCTCAGGCGTTTAAAACCCAGTGATTGATTTGGAGCGGGTTACATTTATATCCTGTATATGAAGATTGGCAGGGAATACAAATGTGAGTAATTATTATTTAGTGTGTTGATCAAGCTCATATATTTCTAAATGGCTTGATGATCATTCTGGTGAGTTTTCCTCTCTAAGCTCTGGCCGTCTTCCAGCTAACATCATCAGCAGGGAGTAGCGGCACGGAGAGGTAGCAGAATTGTGACTAATTGTGACTTTTCTGTCCCCATAAGGGATCAGATCTGACATGGGGAGGGGAAGATGGGAGTCTCAGGAAGGGGTCATGCTCAGAGCAGAACACCCCTTTCTTGCGGCTTTGTCTGTCAGTGGGTAGAGTTGACAGAAGTGTTGCAGAGACCCACACCCGCCCTCACCTGGGCCCTCCCTCATCTCCACACTCACTGTCTCCCTCCGACCCCCAGGAAGCCTCCCAGATTGGGAGGTGCTTCCATGAAGGGAACATATGAATGAATTACTCTCATTAGTAAGAAAGAACCAATGAAATAAAAAAACAATTAACATGTGCATTTCTAACAAGTTCCCAGGTGATGTTGAGGCTGATGGCCACACTTTAGAACCATTGTTCTCCAATAGATTGTTACCTGTCTTATAGGTGAGCAAACCTGAGGCTTGGCTGGGATCAGTAGTTCACCCAGGTGGGAGAGTTGCAGCTAGAAATTATGTCCGTCTGACTCTCCAGGTCAGTCTCTTGACCACCATCTCAACCTTCTGTTAGGCAAGGCCAGGACTGATGGAACTCATTACCTGCTGGGCTCAGTGTCTCCTTTCCTCCCAGAGGAAAACTGACATTCTTAGAGCATTCCTGCATCTCTTCCTGTAACATGGGGTCTTACCTGGGGGTTCGCATCACGCCTGGGCAGAGGAGGCATCTGCTTTCTCATTGTGATGTCAGCACACTCCAAAGCATTCGCCTGAACCAAAGTACCTCCCTCACCAGGGGTGACATAGTCCCTCAAATTCCCACCAATGGAGTTATCCTTTTAAGGTAAGGTTCTATCTCCACGTTGTTTCCTAGTTAGTGTGTGAGTTCCTGGAGGGTGTGGACCGCATCCTATTTGTACTGAGACTTTCCACACCCAAGTGCAGTGCTGGGCTCGTGCTAAATGAGCATTGGGTTAAATAGATAAATGAGTCCATGAACTATATTACTTGGAGAGTGTATATAATTAGACCTAATACCTGGTTTTAGATTAGTCCAACAGGCAAACTTAGAGGGTAATAATAGCGTGTGTAAGTTTTGAACACTTGGAGATGGTGGGAGGAAATGGAGCCTTACTCAGCAAAAGCAAAACTTAGACCCATCCACGATTAGTGGGACTCTCTTGGAGGGGAGGTGCTGATGATCCAACTGCCCCAACTTTCCAGCATTTGTTGCAGTCACACTGGTCCCTGACATAAGCTAATTTCTCATTCTGTCCTGGCACAAATGAAACAAATTGAACAGTTCTCAGGGATAACAGAGAGATATCAAGAGAGTCCCAGGAGTTGGGTTGGTCTGGCCTGCAGAGCCCCGGGTTCTGATTCTGCTCTGGCCCACTGCCTCCCAGGTCTCTGGGCACAGTCAAGTCTGTTCTAGTCCATCAAGGCTCCTTCTTGGTGGCTTTTGCTTTCATGATTCATTGCATGAGGAACACCCTCCTAGACACTTGATCTGCCAAATCCAGTCCAAGGGCAGTTACTTCTCTCACACTTACCTAGGCCAGTCCTCTTGGATATTGCTTCTCGTTTGGAGGCACACCTGTTCCCCAGGTGACTACTAACAGGAATAACCTTACTGTGCAGGTGAACCTCCACCCCCTACCCACAGAGGTGTAACCTCACTGCCAGCCTCTCACCATATCCTGATGCAGAGGCAGCAGCCGTCACATGACATGGGTCGTGAGGTGGCAGGTGGTGTGAGGAGTGGGTTGGCATTTTCTCAGAGTCAGTGAGTCCAGAGGGTAGGGGCCACAGGCGTGATGCACCAAGAGGGACTCCCACTGGGCCTCTATAGGGTTTTGCTTCTGCCAGCCCCGCTTGCAGGTTCCTTTACGCTAGAAAACTCCCTCTTCCTGCCACCGGGTTCCCACCACACAAGGAGGGTAGCTGCAGTTTAATTATCAGCTACCTCGGGCCCCGGGACCTCCATCAGCAGTCTGGCATTCATGATGGTCATTACTGCCTCAGATCCTAAATAACACGGTTGTGCTGATGGAAAATGCTGTTGGGGTCCCCGTGGATGTCACTGCTTGTTGCTACACTGATGTATACGAGCCTGTTTCAGCAAAATATGAAAGTCTGGGGAAGGAGACCCTGAGGAGGCAGAGGAGATTGGGAGCCTCCTGCCTGTTTGTTGGTCATTTTCATGTCAGGACATGGGCTTTGGGTACCTTGAGGTTATTATGAGAAGTCACTGGAGTTGGGAATTTTGGGGGAAGGGGTTTTATTTATCTTTTCCCTGTTTGGTGATTCTCAACTCTGAATATACCCTTCTGCATCCACATGCTGTGTTGATTTACTTTTTCCATTTCTTGGAATGATGCAAAATGTCTGGGTTACAAAGAATATGGGACTGTATTTTTTGTATTTCCTGTTATTGAGTATCAGAAAGTTACTTGAACAAACAACTTATTTGCCATTCATCCTTATAATTTCCTGTTTTGATTAGCTGCTTCTACACTCGTAATTCTAAAGAGAAATACAAAAATTCTGTGAAGCTAGCAATATTCCCTTAGATTTGTCCGTAAGATATATTTAGGCCAATTAAATTTTTTAAAAAAATCATTGTTGTTTGTCACTCTGATTCCTTTGTTTGCGTGCCATCAGTGTCCAATGAATAGCATGCATTTCTTCCAGTCATTGTTAAAACCCAATGTATGGGAACAGTGTTTGTACCAGCAGCTGTTACAAATCTGGGGCTATGGATTAATGTCAGCTTCTGAATGTAGAGTGCTTTAGTTAATTCCATCCAAGGACAGATGATATCATCTAGGAAGAAGGAATATATTAGAAACTGTCAGCCAGAAGGTAGTAAAAGGAGGTGATATGTTAGAAGGAGTGCTAAAAGGTCATTCAAAGAAGAGATATTGCTAATAACTCAATTAAAATTTTCACGCTGACATTTTACAAATTTCTGTGTAAGCCCTAAAACATTTTCAAAGCTAGCTAAATTCATACCCTAGATTGGAAAAACAGGGGTCAAATAGGATTCACACAATTCCTTTGTGGGATGAACAAACTGGGATAAACTCCTTTTCCAGGAAGTTCCAGCGAGCAATTCAAAGAAACAACTTCAATATGTAGGTGAGAGAGAGCAGTTTTGCAAGTTCTTCTTTTTCTTGGGGATTTGGCCCTTTCCTCTGGTAAAAGGGTTTAGGGCCGAGCAGCCGACTCATTCTGTCCCTGGGTTTCCAGGAAGCCAGTATTTGCCAGGCTGGTGTGTCATGTAGTTATTTTCTGTGTTTTGCTGCCTGAGAAACAAAAGAATTCAAGTTCTTCTTGGGAGCCAAGAGGCACAGCAAAGGTAGGTGTAAAAGCTGCTGGTTGAACCCGCACTTGGAGCAGAAATGCTTCCAGACCAGGTGATGGGCTATGGCCACCGTGGCTGAAGAGCCAGGCTTCCTGGACAGAAAATGCAGGATGGCAGGGCTCACAATACGTCACCTGATGCACCTGCCTGTTGTCCTTTTTGGAAGGGATGATCCGTTCTGAACATGTTTTTACCTGGAGTCCACCTGGCTTCTCTTGGTAACCTTTTCTAGGGTTGCACTATCACCATTGTGGGCATTTATTTCTTCTTCTGTCCATTGAATGTCCAATGAATATGAACCTAGTTCTTTTTTGGTATCTTTTCCAATAGTCGTAGAGAATTTTTTGTATGCATGTATTTATTTATTCAATAATTGCTCTAGCTGCCTCTAGTGTCCTTGGTGCTAAGGGTTTGGTGGTCAGGAAAAATCACCGTGACTGCCTCCTTCATGGAGTTTACAGTCTTGTGGAGGTGAGGGTCACTAAATAATCCAGCAAACACTGATACAGATGGATGTCCAATCACAGCTGGGGTAGGGGCTGGCAGAAAGGATGTGGTGCTATGCTGAGATCTAATTTTAACATAGGGAGCTTTGGAAGGACTTCACTGACACAGTGATGTCTCACCTAGGTGCTGAAGGAGGTGAGTGAGGAAAGAGGCCAGGGAAAAGGCCTGTGGGCAGAGGGAACAGCAAGTACAAGGTTCTTGGCTGCACAGGGCTGGGTGATGGCAAGGCCCTGGGAAGAGGTCCATGTGGCCCTTGGAGAGACAAGCTGGGCCTGGGGGAGGCAGGTGCGGTCGGTCCGTGGAAGGCCTGACAGTCTATGGGGAGGAGTTTGACTTTTAAAAATATTTAATACTTTTAATGTCTAAATTCATGCCAAGCCAAACCACACTTCCTCTTCTCATAGTCACCCTCCTAGTTTCTCTCCTTTTCAACTCTGGGGACCTGTAATGAAATGTGGAGCAGAGGCTTTCAAACTGGCTTGTTTTCTTAGAGATGGCTTCTTGAAAGATGATGGGCCCAGAGCTGAGAACAGCTGTAGGGCACCTGAACGTTTGCTATGGGCATCTCAAGATGGGGCACCTTGGAGTCAGAAACTGGGGCCTGCTTGTCAGGAGAGAGAGGTGCATGTCTTTGCTATGTCCTGTGTACACAGGAGGCACAGAATAAATGCTTGCTGATGAGTCAGAGGTGACATCCAGCTCTCAGGAATACAAAACTAAGTTTTACCTTTTCCCGCCACCTGAGCGACGCTCACAAAGAGCGCCTGGGGAGGAGGGGTGGGCACGGCTGCATCTGCTTCATCGTCCAGTGTGTGCACTTGGGCCACCTGATGCCAACTCTGCGATACCACATTTGTCTTATTAAGTGTGAGCCAACGCTTTCCCCTCTTCTGGGACCCTCTGGACGGTGGCCGTGGGAGACAGGGACGTGCAGTGAAAGCCCTGTTAATTTGGCCTGTAAAGGGAGGCGGCGGCTGCTGGGACCGCTCAAATGAAGACAAATGCATTGTTAAGTTTTTATGGACCAAGGCCGCGCTTTCATTAAGCATAATTTACATAACATAACTGATGCTCAAGGCCAAACAGTCCTTGTGGCCCAATGACAGCCCCCGACAACCGGTGGACGGCAAGGCCTCCTGCAGAACTCCTCAGGTCAGGAAACCGCCTCCTTCCTCTGCTGGCTCAGCACTCTGGGCGCTCCCAGCTCCCTCTTTGACCTCCCAAGCTTCATGCCGATGACTTCAAAGCTATACCTCCTCCCCTGGCCGAGCTCACTTGCTCTGTTCCCTCCTGTTTCTCCCTAGGAGTTGGCTTCCTGGTGTGAAGCCTCCCTTAGCCCTGCCTGGGAATTTTCTGGGGTTCATCTGGGCCTGGCAACAGGTTCCTGCTTTAGGGTTAAGATGTCCCAGTGGGGAGAGTAGGCTTTAATTAGAGCTGTCGGTGTTCTCCAACAGCCCGCCTCGGAGGTGAGGATGTGTTGGGCAGTGGCCTTTGTCTGCACCCATCTTCATTACACGTTAATACCACCAGAGACACTTTGAGGTCGGCTTCTCCACCTCGCCCGGCAAAGGCAATTATCATTTCCTCTCGCTGCAGGGGTGAATGTTCGGTATCACATGATGGATTTTTGCTGGTAATCAGAACTTTCTGCCCATTGGTCTTCAGGACATACTTCTGTGTTGACATTTACAAGGTACGTGTCAGGCAGAGCCGAGGTGCAGAGTGAGAAACTGAGAAGGGGAGGGGAGGGAGGACCATTATATTCAATTTAATGATGACAATTTCCCTACATTTACAACTTCCAGAACTAAGAGACAATAGATATGTGTCTTCTGCTTGCATGAGCACCGGAGAAGATGACACGAGGAGATTCTGTTAGCGGGAATGGTGATAGATTACCTTAATGATTTCATTGCTTGCCAAATAAAAGAAAAATTCTCGCTGTGGTGCAGAGCCCTGTCCTCATCAGGCTATTCATTGTGAGGAGTTTGTTGTTAAATTGGAGGCATAGAAGAAATTCTGACCTTCTGTAAGCTGCTTTTGGGTTTTTATGTTTTTCTTGACTACCTTGACAGTCTGGTTCTTCTCAGTTTACAGGACTGGCATAAGCCTTTGTGTGTCTAACACTGAAGCTCATTATTGGATTTGAAGAGCTCATAGGTTTGGGCAGGTGGGTGTTGCATTAATGGAAAATTTCATAGTAGAGTTCAATGAAAGCTCTCCTTCACTATTATACTAGTGATTGGATGGGCAGGGGACTGTGTGTGTCCGGGTTGGGTGGCAGGAGTGGATATGTTATCATGTGAACCGTAGATAGTTTGAATGAATCCCAGTGCTATGCATGGGAGGTTTAAGCTGAGGTGGGATCCTTTGGTCTGGGTAGAATCCAAAGGGCCGTTTTCTCAAGGCTGCTGGAGGCTGGACAGTACGAATTGTAGACCAGGAGGGGGCTAAGGTCTTAGTGGGAGAACAGCACCAGGTGACAAGTCCTGCGGTCCAGGCAAGGCAGATGGAGAGCCAGAAGAAGGTCAGAAGCTGGTAGGACTTGGAGCAAGCTAGGATGAGAACATGGATAGGTTTGCGGCTAGATCTAGAAACAGGAGTGTTGGAAGCTTCTCGATTTCATTATTATATGAAGCTGACAATCACAGTTGAGCAGAGAGATGCAGGACCCGACTATGATGGTGTGATTATCATCCACTCACTCTGTGCAGCCTGCTTTTTTTAATAGGTTGCCTAGATTTCCAACAAAGTGGAGTAGTCTTGGTACAGTAGGGCTTCAGAGATGAAGGAGACCTTTAAGGTCATGGAAGTCATGAGACCAGAAGACCTGGAAAGGACAGCCAGCCTGCCCAAAGTCTCTTAGGGCATCACCAAACTTTCTCATTCAGCGTTGTTGCCACCACACCCTGTTGCCATTTACTTGATTGAAGCAGTTCTGCAGAAATTGGATTGTTTGCACTCCTGGAAGGCCCTCTTCCTGGATATGCTGGCCTACTCTGGAGCTGGACCTAGTAACCCTGCTTTGGACATGATCCTCTTAGGATTTATTTTTACCTACTAGTTGTGTGACTTTGGACAAGTGGCTTCACCTTTCCATGTCTCAGGGGTTTTTTTTGTCATTAAAATATTGTAAGATCTCTGTGGACCCTTTCAGCTCAAGCATGGTATATTCTGTAACTATTGCTGGGTATCCCAGTAGGCCCAGTTAGAAGCTCTTGTTATGCCATCCATGTGATTGGAGGCAGCCTCAAAGTACTAGGCAAATAGAAATGATACTGATGCTTTGGTTGTTCATACACCTGAAAGATCCCATGGAAGAGCCCTCTAAGCTGTAAGCTGCTTGGGAACAGGGGCCACGTCATTCTTTTTTTTTTTAAATATCTCCAAAAGCATGAGATTGGCTGGTGAATATCTGATGTGTAATAAATTGCGACTGAGTATGGGGAAGTGATACTGAATTTTGAATAAGACATTCTTTTTCTGCACTTTAGGGAGTGAACATACACACTGCGTAAGCACATGTGTCTAGAATACACCTCTTCTAGAGAAACTTATCAAGTCCACTGGAGCAGGGACTGAATCTGTCTTACTCACCACTGGTTCCCAGGTGCTTGAACACTATGAGGCCCATAGAAGCTATCAGTAAAGGTTTGTTGGACAGATACATGAACAAAACTAAGGCATGGAGAATGGGTAGCTGGACTTTCCAAAATTAACTGGGAAGTAAGGAGGGAATATAGACCTGGGAAAAGAAGGAAACAAAAAACTTGGTGGTAGTGTGTTGAATTTTGTTTGCCTTCCTCCTCGGAGCTGTAGCTTAAGTATCTTCTGCATACCAGGAATTGACAAGCAAGGGAGTCTGTCTGCTGGTTGATGCTGGTCTGTGAAGGGCTACCGATCTGTGATGAGATAAGAACAGAAATGGAACAGAAGCATTTGGAAACTTTTATAGTAATTTGATACTCAAGCATGTGATCACTGGATTTATCTTGTTGAACAGTGTGCAGATCAGTTCAGGTGTTGTCCAACCTGCATAGTCAGTCACACATGGTGTATGCTGTGCTGTGGTCCCACACAGTGGGACCATGGACTGGCCCAGGACACACTAGGGAGACATGGCCCTTCATCACATTACTGGAAAGAGGCCAAGTGAGATACCTGGTTGTATAGTCTAGCAGTCATAGTTATATTAAAATATTAATAATATTATTGGTCATATAAAGGGGTTTGTGACTTACTATGATCATGTATTGTCTGTTGTTGATTTGAGGACTGAACTAGCCACACTCCTTCAGTCAGCCAGGTTGAGTTAGAACCTGTGTGACAGTGGTTTTCTCCATTTAAAACTGGCAAGCCTTGCATGGCTGTTTAACTTGCCCCTGTGGCCTCAATATTATCATGTAATCACATAAGCTAATTAAGCTATTTTCTATCTGTTGAACAGAGAATATGAAAGCTTGAAAATGACTCTGGCCATCCTCTGATTCAACTCACTCATTTTTCAGAGGCAACTGAGGCTCAGAGAGGTTAAATAATATGTCCTGGTCACACAGTTACTTAGCAAGAGTTGGGACTAAAACATTAGTCCTTCACTCCTAGGTCATTGTGCTTTTCCACTTTACCTTGAAGTTTAATAAAATCCTTTCAGATCTGACAGTGTCCAAGGCATATGTCTGTTGTGGTAAGTTATGTACCCCTATTTGATAGAGGACCCAGAATGGACAAATTTTGTTCACCAACTAATTATAGGTGGTCCACTTTTAAGAAAACTCTGCATTTGAAATTATGAACAAGGGAAACAGTAAAGGTGATTTATATATAAACATTCACATATATAATGTGTACATGTTACATTTGAATATTATGTTTATATATGCATGTAATATTTATATTTATAAATACATAAATAATAGAAAATATGTGTTTATGAAGTTCAATAACAATACTTGCTGTGAGTAAAAGAGTGTTGACTACCATTCATAATAGTTTAATCCCCATATGAGGTTAAAACTTCATATGACAGTATATATTAATGGAAAAATAGGATATAATTTAGAATATACTAATGTAAGTACACTTTCAGAAATATATATATATTAGAAAAAATATCTCTTTTTTACTTGTGAATTAAAATGGGGTAAGTGATAGAAGCCTGGGTAGGAGAATTCATTTCCCCCCAAATCTCATCCCTAATTTAGCAGGTTTCAGTGTGGTCTAACTCAGGTGTTGGCAGACTATGACACATAGACCAAATCCTGCAGCTGCCTGTTTTTATAAAGTTTTATTGGCACACAGCCATACTCATTCATTCACTATCATCTATGGCTACTTCCATGCTATAACTTCACTTTTGAGTAGTTGTGACATACGCTTTATGGTCTGCAGAGTCTGAAACATTTACTCTCTGGCCCCTTACAGGAATCATTGGCCAAGCTCTGGTCTAGATGCTTATCTGTTTTATAGCTATGATTCGACTACCATCAGGCAAGGGGTCTTTATTTGGAATCCCACCTAGCGGAGTTCTGAAACAGAGGGAAAGAAGTGAGCTATAGTCATCTTATTTAGAAGACTGCTTTAAAATCCTGTCACCAGCTGCCAGTTTTTAGTCTACATGTGACCTTTGAATGATCCTGGGAGATTGAAATTAACCACCTCAGGAACAAACATTCAATCTTTTTATTTTTTCCACTTTCTTGGGAGAGTAATAAATATAGTCAACGACTCTGGATTCTATTACTATGTAAGAGCTCTTTAAAAACATCTAACCATCTGCTTAATGGCCAGTAATATGTTTCTAATGGTCACTCTCGATAAGACACTTTCAGTTCACTACTGTATAATAGTCATCCAGCAGCCAAGAGGCTCCCAAAGTAATAGGATCAAAGGCCAGTCTCCAGCTCTGTGGCGGTGGCCTGGAGATAGTTCTAAAGAGAAAAATAGAGCAAGCCTTCTGTGAGTTATATGTGCAAACTCTCATCTGTTTTGTGAAGCCCTGGGCATATGCTAAGTACATGGTCTGTCCACAAGAAGTTTCAACTAATACAGACTTAGAACTTTGATTTTTTGACATTTGCACATCCAGGTGTGGTTGCAACTTGAGGTTGCCTTAATTAATATCTGTCCTTTCATTTCAGGTGACATACACTGAACTGTTGTTGTCACTAAGAATCGTGCGTCTGTGGTCTGGGCCCAGCAGCTGGTGACAGCTTGGCAAATTATGAGTTTCCTAGCTTAAAACAGACTAGATTGCAGACAAAACAAGCCATTAGCTGAGTAAATACTGTATTTCTGTTTGGCTTCTGTAAGAAGAAGAAGATTAGCATGAGTGTTTAGTGTTCATAATTATTAGAAGGAGGCAAATAGTAGGCTCAGGCTGACTGGAGATTGTTTCATGATATCCAATTAACACCCACTTGATTATTCTTAATTACTTCTGCTTGATGACAGAGGAGTAAAGATGTCATACTTCAAATGTACAAATAACAACTGGGTTATCAATAGATACATGTTTGTCATATCAGATCCTGCTCATTTGGGGGCAGCTGTGTAATATGAGCTCAGCAGAGGGATAGAAAATGAAATGTCCACTTGTTGAGATTTTGGTAAATATTACGGGGAACTTAGCAAGGTGCAGAAAAATAGATATTAGGATAAAAACATGTTTTTCTGCCACCTGGTTTAGAAAGATTTTCGTTGAAAATGCCTCACTCCACATTTGCTTGAGAATTCCTTCTCATCTGTCCTTTCTAACTGTGGCCTAGAAAGTTCAGCTGTAGCATCAAGATCAAGGATTATAAAGAGAAGTATCTGAATGCAGAATTTGTAAGAATGAGTTACGTGTGTGTCAAATGGTATGAAATGGAAATGGTTTATGGGAGTTTGAGAAGCTGAGACATAATTAGTATCTGTCCAAGACATTGAACGACTAGCTTGGTAGAGATCATGAAATACTAGCAAGTGATGTAATCTCAGGAGCACGGACAAGGGGTAAAGACAATGCCCTAGACTTTCCTAGGTTTAAACCTGAAACGAAGATGACCATGAGGAACAGTAATAGTCATCTTCCCCTTCTCAACCTTTAGGGGGAAAATGAATAGACTCTGCCCTCCTTCAGTTATTTCCTTGGGTTGGGAGAAGTTGCCATTACAGCAGACGTGGGAGGCTCTTTGCCTTTCTGAGCAGAGTTTAATAGAATACTTGCTTGTGGTGTCCGTGATCTTGCAGTGGAAAAATTTGGATTGGCATATTTTTTTCCTGGATCAAATTTAGGTATTAAGTCATTCTTAGGTAAAGAGGGAAGGAACTTGGCAGCAGCAGAGAATGGTGAGGTTTGGTGGTTGTGCCAGGGCATTCTTAGAACTGACAACTTGCTTGAAGATCAGAGCTGGACAGGCAGTGATGGCAGGTTGGTACCAGACAAATCCACTGTCAGCTCTCAAGGTCAATCAGCAGTTAGTTACTGAGCACTTGTTCATGCATAGCATCAAACCAGACCCATGAGTGGGTACGGAATGGGCCAAGCCCTCCCCGACTGTGGGGAGAGAAGACTTTACTGTTACATGGTTGTGCTTAATTAATTGCTGAATTGCATGGTTCAAACTCAGGGCTGTAGAGGTTCAGTGAAGTGGGCTGGGCAGGGAAGACCAGGACTTCAGGACCAAGACTTGAAGGGCAGGGCATCTTTAGCTACTTGGGGAATGTTCCAGCTGTTGGTGGTTCAAGACTAGGGGGAGAAAACCTGTTCCAGGTGAGCAAAAACATGGCGCCTTTGTCCTTTGATGCAGACTGGCCCAGATCCATACTCAGGTCCAAGGACCAGTGACCTGAGGACATCTCATGGTGAGCAACCATGGGGCTGAATCCTGGGATGGAAGGCCATGTCAAGGAGAGGGCCCCAAGGAGATAGAGTTAATGAGGATTCCCTGGAATCTATTTCTATTATGAGGGAAGAGACATTAGGTAATCTGTTAAAGTCAAAAATTTATAAGTGTATTTAAAGATTTAAGGCTAAAATGGAATATCTTAGGCAGTGATTTGAAGTCTATATATATATATGGCAGCTGATATTTAAAAGGCACACAAAACATTTTAAAATGACCTCGGGAATAGTGTTCCCTCCCCTGAATAATAAAGGGGTAATATCAGGGAATGGAGTGGTGTCAGATTGTAATCGATTTCAATTTGACAAAGGATGTTGAGGCCATCTTTGCTGATGATACTAGAATCCAGTGCCAGGGTCCCCTGAGTGGACAGAAGGGTTTGTATGAGAGCCATGGAATAGTTTAGATCTTAGTAGTTTTGTTTTATGTATGTGGGTGGGTGGTGGTGGTGGTGGTGAGGGGGGCGTCTGCACTGTGCTCCATAGGATGCGACAAGATTGATGTCGTGTACACAGGTAGGATGTTGGGAGTGCCAGCTGGTTGTGGTATAGAGTTGGCGTATTACAGGATAGAACTTGGTCTAACTGAGAAAACCACCAGGAAGCTATTGAAAGATTCCTAGCTTTCTCCATGCTGAGAAATGAGAATGGATTCACTTTAGTTACTGCCAAGCTATGTGCATGAGGTCTTTGCTACTAAGAGTGTGGTCCATAGACAATCAGCATCTCCTGGGTGATTTTTAGAAATGCAGATTCTTGCTCCCCGGATGAACTGAGGCAGAATCAGCATTTTAACAAGATTCCCAGGTGATGTGTAAGCTCACTAGGTCTGGGAAACAGAGCTTCAGACTTCACTGCTCATTTCTAGACTGTGTGTTTGCCTACAATTCTGTCTTTGATGAACTAACTGGGGGACTGTAGATCCATCTGTCCTTCTGAGGCTGTTTCTTGCTCTCTAACTTGGGCATATTTCTGCCTCCTCCACCTACTACCCAAGGCCTTTAGGATGGTGAGAGGAGATAATGCATGTGAAAGCCCTTTGTCACGGTAAAGGTCTGCA